CCCCCCCCCCGCCTTTGTTTTTCAGGGGGATCTGGGACCACAGGGGGACCAAGGCCGTGAAGGACCATTTGGACCACCTGGAGAACCAGTAAGATGTCGTCAGCCTTTTTATAATCCCGTGTCTCCTGTATGGGCAAAGGAGAGTCAGAATAAAGGCTCAGAAATAAGGTTGCCGTTTGCCCAGTGGGGGTGGGGGATCCCCTGATTTTATGGGATCCTGCCCGCCGGCCAGCTGGGAATCCCCCTCCAAGCAATGACGCTGCACACAACATGCCTGTGTCACCCGGAAGTGACGTTGGCAACGTCGGGGGTGACACTCTAGATTTTGGGCAAAACTCTATTGTTTGATGCTGATTTTACCATAGAGTTTTGCTCAAAGTCCAGAGCATTGCCTCTAATGTGCCGACACTACTTCTGGGTGTTGCAGGCACATTGCGTGGAACGTCACTGTTTCGGGGCAAATGGGGGGCAACATCACTTCCCACTCCCGGAACATCTCCCCCATCCCCCCGCCAATGGGCAAAAGAGACCTGGCAACCCTCCTCAGGAAAGAGTAGAGCAACCAGGCTAGAAGTCTGCCGTGGTCTACTACCAATCTTCTCTTTAGGGCTGCCGAGCAGTTTCTGGCGATTGCTAGAGCTACCCTTGTCACTTCTGGGTAACTCTAGGAATCACTAGGAACTCTGTGGTCAGAACTTCTGGTAGGTAATGGAGGCCTTGTTTTTTCTTTTCAATTTGTCTCCTCAGGATTTTCTCCCCCCTCCCCCTTTTGGCCCAGTTTCCACCCATCAGTCAGCCAATTGCCTGGAGGTCTCCCGCCATAAGCGGGCAAATGGGAACCCTACTTCTCTCCTCTTCCATCTTGGGGCCTTCCTATCTCTGTCACACAGACAAAACTGCAAATGATCTTTGTGTAAGAAGTTCCCAAACCACCACAGGAAAGCTCATTGCAGCTCATTTGTATTTTTAGTGAATGTTTAGTGTGTTTGATTCCACCATTAAAGGGCAGTCAAATAAGACATGGTTCTTCCTCATCATAGATCAAGTTTTTATATTCCCCTCAGACACTACCAAGGAACAGGGAAGCACCGCCGTGGAACTTATACATCTGCATTTAATTTCAACACAACACTTAACTGAGTGCCTCAGGTCAGAGACAGAACGCTCTCCTTCTTGGCCTCATGAAAAACCCCTATTCCTGATTACCTTGGAGCTTTTAGAAGCAGGCCACACTCCCACGTGATTCCTGACAGAATCCATGTGGCCATATCTGCATTTACTATCACTCCTCCTGGAATAAATTTTTTCACTTTCCTGTCTGGCCCACTCTGTCTGCAGGCCTGCATCACTCCAAGTCACCTCAGCTGAGCTCCTCAGGCTAGAGATGGAAGTACCACTCTTTGGCCTCAGGAAGTACCCCTCCTCCAGCCAGAGGAGAGCACTCTGTTCTCTCTGTCGAAGGGCTTTCGATAGATCCAGCCTGTCGTTAAGCAACACTACTTTATAGCAACATCAGTTGAAATTAAACACAGATGTTCGGTGCCAGAGCCACTGTTCCAAATTAAAAACAGCAGTGGGAACAAACGCTGGCCCACGCACCATCTTGGGGATGAGAGCCTTCCTAGAATAATCCCACAGCTCACTCTGAAGCAGGAGCTGTCTCTTTGTTGTGTGTGTGTGTGTGTGTGTGTGTGTTGGGGATGCTTAACAGAAGCGAGGCAGCAAGGGTTCCTCAAAACACAGAGGAAGAAAACTCCTCCGAAACGACGTAAGAAGAAGAAGCGACAGACGTTTCACTCTAGACAGGATGGGGGACATCAGTTTTAGCCATAAGGACTCCCTCTCTATGAAAGCAAAAAAGGGAGACCTGGTACTTCAGATAGGGTGTGATGCAAGAATTAAACCTATAAATGTAAGGGAAGATAAAAGATGTGGCTGAAATGAAGTTAGGGACGCCTGAGAAACTCAACCGGCTCTTGTGATTGAGGGAAACTCTTGCGACTCTTGAAAAGTCCAAAAGTCCTGTGAAATGAAGTGCTGTTAACTTTACAGTCATCAAGAGTATCTTTACAATCATCAAGAGTTATCAAGCTATGCTGGCTTGTCTTGGCTTGTCTTGCGTGAAGTGGTGACCTTGTCAGTCATCTCACCTGTGAGCTGGTCTTCAGAATGGTTCAATATCAAATCATAGGCCAGCCTACAGTTACATAAGAATGTAAAGAAGAGCCCCGCTGGATCAGACTAGGGGTCCATCCAGTCTGGCATCCTGTCTCACACAGCGGCCAACCAGTTGCTCCGGAGGGCCAACAACGGAGCATAAAGGCCGAGGCCTTCCCCTGATGTTGCCTCCTGGTACTGGGCTCCGGTGGTTTACCGCCTCAGAATGTGGTGGTTCCCTTTAGACACCACGGCTAGTAGCCACTGATAGACTTGTCCTCCACGGATCTGTTTAATCCCCATTTTAAACCATCTGTGCCCGTGGCCGTCACGACTCCCTCTGGCAGTGAATGTCACATTTTAATCACTTGTTGTCTAAAGAAGTATTTTCTTTTGTCTTGTTCAGGGCTCTTTTTGTAGAAAAAGCCCAGCAGGAACTCATTAGCACCCCTGATGACACAGCTCATTAGCATATTAGGCCACACCCCCATGTTACCAGAAGTGTGGTCATCCAGCCACACCCACCTTTTGCTTCTTATTCTGTTTACCTTGTTTGTTGTCAACACCCAGGGCTTTTTTGTAGCACGAACTCATTTGCATGTTAGGCCACACACCCCTAATGTAGCCAATAGCATTGAGTTTCTGCTGTTAGGTGTGGCCTATTATGCTAATGAGTTCCTGCTGGGCGTGGCCAACTCTGGAGCCAGAAGGAACTCCGTTCCTGTGCGTTCCTGCCCAAAAATAGCCCTGCTTGTCCTGAATCTTCTGCCCATCGGTTTCATTGAATGCCCCAACAGCTCACTCCTTTCCCTGTTTACTCATTTTGCACAACTGGAGCTTACTTCACGGTAAAGTGCAGATCAGATTGCAGTTTAAGATAACAGCCGTGCCTGTGATCCAAGTGGGCTAAACTCTGTTTTCATCATTTGCGTGTCGGATATCTGCCGCACAGTGACCGAGGAGCAGAGAAAGAGAGTGGGAAGGAAAGACTTCACAGAGGAGAAATTCTCTCAGTTTATCTTGAGTCAAGCCAAGCTTGGCTGCGCTCTGGGCCTCTGTAGCAATTCGGGGCCTGGAAGAAACTCATTACTTTAGCCACCGTATACCTGATTTTGGAACGAGTCTCCGAAAACTGTTAAACTGCACATCTTTGGGAAACGGCCGCGGTAATAATTGTAAACGCTCATTTGCCGGCAGTACTAATAATGAGAGATCTTCGGGGGGAATCCTGCCTGTTTCGTACACATATATGTACAGTGTGTATCAGATGGATTCCTACAGCCTCTGAAAAATGCGTCTACAGGGTAGGTCGTCAACTGCAGGTCTGTAAACCTCTATGTGACTACCCTGCCCCCACCCAGGGAACTTATCAATGTGTCCCTTGGGGAGGCTGAGAGCCAGGCTTTATTGGGCTCCCATAATATCTGTTAGCTGATCATAGGTTGAGAGGAATATAGTCCCTGATTGATATTTTTTATTCTTCTAGGGTGAGGCTGGGCCAGCTGGACCTAAGGGGTACAGAGGAGATGAAGGGACTCCCGGACCAGAGGTTTGTACATTTTCATGTCGATGTGTACCTAAATTAGCAAGAGGCAGGCAGGAAAGGGATATCCCTTCCCTCGGGGGCTTGAAAGATCAACCACTTCACATCTCGGGCCGTTCCAGGGCAAGTCCACTGATGTGCAACATGTGCTCTCCAGATGTGAACTCCTACATCTGAGGATACATGGGAGGGCATGTCCAAAATCAGTCCTTGTGTACTGCATCTGTAAACACTGGCTCACAATTCCGTGACCCGAATGAGGAAGCCCCAACCTCTCTACTACCTGTCAAGATTAGGACGGGGGTGGGGAGGGAATATTACACATTCGGCGGGGGGACCAGCAGTAACCACAGCTGGGTCATCAGGAAGCCAAGGGAAAGGCTTTCGGGCCTCATGGTTCATCTAGTGCCTCGTGGCTGCTGTCAGGAAGAGGAAATGGGAAAGGCGAGAGCCATTTGGAAGCGGCTCATCCTGAGTGAGGAAACTCCATCTCAGCTGCTAACTGGACAACTGGGGATGAGGAGGATTTCCCTTGAATCCATTGTGGGGCCGGGAAATGATGGACGTTTGGGGAGAGGGCAAGAACTGAACACTTTGGGTAGGAACAAGCTTGAGGGGAGCCATCTTTGAATCATCCATTCCTATTTCCAGTCCGTCAGCATGGAAGGTCTCCCTCCCTAGTTTAAGCAAGGCGTATTTCCAGTCCGTCAGCATGGAAGAAGGTCTCCCTCCCTAGTTTAAGCAAGGCTTCTTTTTATCCTCCTCCCCACCACCACCACCAAGAGAAGCTTTGCTACGGTAGTTTAAGCAAGGCTTCTTTTTATCCTCCTCCCAACCCCCCACCACCACCAAGAGAAGCTTTGCTACGGCAACAGACCGTTCTGCAAATTGCACCACTAGCACCAACAATTGTTACTGTGCCTGTAGTATAATACATCATGATGGACTGTCATTGTTGATTGCCCTGGGTGTCAACCAATGCTCCCTCTAAGCTGTGGAGTCTTGTGAGCAAAAATTCTACTTTGTGAATTTCTGCTACTGGCATTAGTTGTGAGTGAGCGATTTGCCTACTGCATAAATTAGTTTGCGCTGGGGCCATCCTTCCTGAGCTAAGACAAAAATGTCTGAGCCGGAAGCTAAAAAACAGTGAGCTAGCTCACGCTAACTCAGCTTAGAGGGAACACTGGCCAACGTAGTTTCCAAGTGGGTTACGAATATGCTGGGCTCTTCTAGACTACTGCAGGCTTATTGACTAGTCTGGCATCACAGCAAAATTGCCCCCCAGTCAAGAAAGGACAAATAAACATGACCCAAGGCTGTGGTCACACACACTAAATACTCTACTTTCAATGCACATTCCAACTCGATTTTACTGTGTGAACTGGCAAAATCCAGTTGGGAAGTGGATTGAAAGTGGATTGTTTAGTGTGTGTGACCGCAGCCCAAGAGTAATATCTCATGAGCCCATTCCACATTCATCGGTGCAAGAGCAGAAATCTACCAGGAAATGGAAGGCATCAGGCTCATTTTGCCTGCATTCATTCCTTTAGCAATAAGCATGTGTTCGCTGTTTTGACGTGCAGGGCCCCAAAGGACCCCTTGGGCCACCTGGACTACCCGGAGATGCCGGCTTGATGGGTGAAAGGGTGAGTGGTGGAAGTGGAGGAGTGAACCCAGGAGGGGAGATTTTGATAGCCAAAAAATATATATATATCAAAACGGGGAAACAGCACGCAAGAAGAGGGGAAATGCAAGTGTGTGCTGAAGACCCTGGTTATAACACAAGGTGGGTAACGGAAGAGGGAGGAAGTATCTGTGAAAGCAAGGTCCTGAGGAATCTGTGGGCTAGGAAGACAGGAAGAAAGGACAAACCCTGGACTGGATCTGAAGCTTACATGGGGCAGGGATGGGAAGAGGAGAGGGGCAGAGGGGGAGGAGAGCGATACCGGAGGTTTGGAGGGTGGGGCGCCTCATGGATAGTCTTGCTCCAGCTCCACCAGAGGGAGACATTGTGGCTTCTGTTGTCCCTACACCCAAGGAACGGTTGTGGGGGAGGGGTCACATAGCCACTTGGACTAATTCTGTGGCCATAAGCTTGAGAGCCAGTTTGGTGTAGTGGTTAAGTGCGCGGACTCTAATCTGGGAGAACCGGGTTTGATTCCCCACTCCTTCACTTGCACCTGGCAGGATGACCTTGGGCAAGCCATAGTTCTGATAAGAGCTGTTCTTGAAAAAGAGCAGTTTCTGTCAAGAGCTCTCTCAGCCCCACCTACCTCACAGGGTGTCTGTTGCGGGGAGGGGAAGGGAAAGGAGTTTGTAAGCCGCTCTGAGACTCCTTTGGGGAGTGAAGGGCGGGGTATAAATCCAATCTCTTCTTCTTCTTTTACCTCACAGGGTGTCTGTTGTGGGGAGGGGAAGGGAAAGGAGTTTGTAAGCCGCTCTGAGACACCTTTGGGTAGTGAAGGGCGGGGTATAAATCCAGTCTCTTCTCTTCTTCTTCTTCTAGTTGAAAGTACTGGCATTTATGAAATGCGTTGGGTGAGATCAGAATTAATTGCAGTTGCCCGTTGAGAGGTGTGGGCATAACAGGAGAGAAAGAGAGGGGTCATATAGGCTTCTGCATTCACTTCAGTGAGAATGTAATTCCTTCTGATGTTCTTCCCCCCCCCCTTTGGCTGAGGGAGGCAGGACTTTGCCCTGGGCGAGCATAGCGTGGTCAGGGTCGGGGCAAAGCCAGCCGCTTTCTTGCTCCTTCCGAGGCACACTGACACCCCTCCCATTTCTGATCCGTTACCTCAGCAAAGCTAGCACTGACTTGAAGGTACAGCAAAGCGACTTCCCCAGACTGCCATAACTTTGATTTATGATATCAAAAAAGATTTTGCCTGTATTTGTCTTGGTAATTGGTCTGCAGTCCTTTGGGCGTGGGCATTCCAGCTGCTGAAAAGGGCCAGTGGCATAGCTAGCAAGAGGGTGACTTCTTTTCCTGTTCCTCCCAGGGAGAAGACGGTGCCCCAGGCAATGGCACAGATGGATTCCCCGGCTTCCCAGTGAGTTGCATTCCATTTCGAAACTCCCCAAATGTAGACCACATTCCCATTTACACGTCTCTGAGTTAATGTTCTCTCTCCCTTCTCCTCCCAAGGGATATCCAGGCAACAGAGGTAGTCCTGGAGTTAACGTAAGTACAGTCCATTAAATTACTAGTGAGTACGCAAGTGTGGTACACAAGGCTGCGGTGGCTCAGTGGTTAAGACGCTGAACTGCAGACCCGAAGGTCGGTAGTTCAGCAGTTCGAGACCCGAGTGCCGAGTGACGGAGTGAGCTCCCGTCTCTGGCCCCAGCTCCTGCCAACCTAGCAGTTTGAAAGCAAGAAATTGCAAGTAGATAAATATGTACTGCTTCAGTGGGAAGGTAACAGCATTCCGTGTGCCTCGGTGTCTAGTCATGCTGGTCACATGACCACGGAAATGTCTTTGGACAGTGCCAGGGGTCATTTCGTAGAAAAAGAGGTGCAGGAGCTCATTAGCATAACATTAGCATAACTTATTTGCATGTGCCACACCCCCTGACATCACCGGAAGTGTGTCAGAAGGCAACACCCACCACTCAGGCTCCACTGGACTGTTTTGGATTGCTAGCTATTGGGGGGGGGCGTGTAAATCTGTCCTCACAAAGGAAGGAGAGCTTGTACCTGAATAAACCTTGGTCTTAAAGGTGCCACTGGACTGTTTTGGATTGCTAGCTATGGGGGGGGGAACGCACAGATCTCCCCTCACAGAGGAGGGAGAGCTTGTACCTGAAGGCAGACGGGGGGTGGGCCTCTGCAACTTATCTGGCTGCTTTTTGCTCCTCGTGGCCTGACTTTGGAAACGGAGATGAGCACCACGCCCCTAGAGTCGGATCCGGCTGGCTTTTGAGTGAGGGAAACCTTTTACCTTACACAAGAGACTGTGCGTGGACACACAGTCTCCACCCAGAATTGCCCCCACAATACTTTCAGTGCCGCTGAAGCCCATGATTGTACTGAATGTAGCTTTTGGGAGCAGTGGGCCAGATCCCAGTGGACAACGTGAACTTGGCCGCAGGACTGATGCAGATGCCCCCTGGCAATCATTCTCCAACCAGGAACTGAGCGGGTTGTGCCCGCAGGAGCCCCCTCTCCACTGAACGTCTCATGGGACTGCGATCATTCTCCACATGCCTTGGGCAATCCAACCAGGAACTGAGTGGGTTGTGCCCGCAGGATCCCCCTCTCCACTGAACTTCTCATGGGACTCCCATCAGTGTGTGCGTTCCTCCCCAAAGGTGTTATCTCTGTCTTCTGCAGGGTACCAAAGGCTTTCCTGGTCCAAAAGGTGATGACGGAGAGTTTGGAGATCCTGGAGAGGAAGTAAGTGGATACTGGGGTTGATGGTAAATTGCCAGAAGCCAAACCATCTCCTTCAGGCAACATAATCCATGCATTTTTATTTATTTTTTTACAATTAACAACTTTATTAAATTTTGCAAACAGTTTCCAACACAAATAGTATCTAATTTTACAGTTTAACACATGAACATATAACAGAAACAGCATAACAACATAACTCAAAAACGTACAGCTAGTAGAAAGCAAAGTCCTTGTATTTCTTAGGCAACATAAAAGTTCGGGGTTGACGAGCAGTAATGTATTCAAAAAACACAATTCAGAACCAAAAAAGGTTATTCAAGAATAGAAAAGGGACAACTCTAAAAATCTAATTATGAAACATACAAAAATATATATGTATTTATTCAACACAAATTAAAATAACAAATAAGGGCCCATTCATACCTCATATACAAATATAAAAACATACAAAGGCTAATGAAATAGACCTAACACGTTTCGGCCTTTACAGGCCTTCCTCAGAGGTCTAATACAAATAGAACATGTATATATACAATCATACATATACAAAATATGAAATAAAAACCAGAAAACAATTGTTCCAAAGTTTAACCACTGGGCAAAGAAAAGAAATAAAAAATTCAAATGAAGTCTCCAGTGCAATCACATGTCCAGTAGTACTTCTCTCTGGTCAACACAAACCATTTTTCCATAAAGTTATTAGCCATTTTAGGGTTATCATTGGCAATCAATTGCATTGAAACTTTATCTGAAACAATCAGGTCCCATACCTTCGTTCTCCATTGTACCAATGTAGGAATCGTCATGAGTTTCCATGCATTTTATGTCCACCGTGCCAGCTGATATGTTAGAAACAGTCACAATTCTCTAGTAAAATCAAAACCTCGGCTTTCTTTCCATATGTTACGCTATAAAAAGAAGGGGTGGAGAAATGTGGTCACTGTTTCAATAACAGCACGGCTGGAAATACGTTCAAGGTGCCGATGATGGCGTTGAACGTCACCCCTTCAAAATGCCAAAAAAATAAGAGATGGCGGCTTTGGAAGTGAGGGGTACGTGTTGAGAGAATGGGGCTTCCTCAGGAGAACGTTCCGGGGAAGATTCAGGACCAGTTCCTGTGTCCATTTCCTGGCTCATTTTTTGACACGGCAAAACATCTCATGTTTCGCATCTCTGTGAAGAAGCATGAGATTTGTGCGGTGCGTCGCACTTTGGAGGTCCATTGAAGGGATCCCCTCACTCACTAATGCTGGATTCCACAGTCAGAAAACAGCTGAAATACGACAGGTGGAAAGACTTGAAGTCTAAAGGCCATTGCTCCCTGGCTTTCAAGAGCATTTCATGGAAGAGAATGTACTCAAATGTATTTAAGCAGAAACAAAAAGGGAAAAAAACTGAACCTTACAATAGAATCCAGAACCAAACAAAGGTTAGTGAAGAAGAGGGCCAATATTAAAACCTATCTAATAAAAGTGGGAAAAGATACATGTATTTATTAATGACAAATTTTAAAACATATACAGGGGCCCATTTACAACAATTATATATAAAACATTACAATACCAAGGGCTTAAAAGCTTGACCTTACGCGTTTCGGCCAAATAGGCCTTCCTCAGAGGTCATATATATGTGACAAAATGGCTAATACATATGTTCACATACACACAATCAAGAATATGTACAAAGTATAAATTCAATAAGGACCATAAAGTAAATTGCTGTAAAAGATAAAAAATAGAAAATTAAACACACATATTTTTACAGTCCTTCAATAAGAAGTGATTCTTACAACTCTATCTGGTTTGACTATTCTTTTGAAGAGCAGCTAGAAACTTGGGCAAAGGAAGCTTGGAAGCTCTACAAAAATTTGCTCTTCTGTGACAGATTTCTTCTCTAACACCAAAAAGGTCTTACAAATGCGGCTTTAAAAAGTCTCCCTTTTTCTTCCAGGATGGCACAAGTATTGTCCAGGGCATGAAAGGAGCCAAGGGATACAGAGGTCCAGAGGGCCCTCCGGTAAGTAACAGAGTTTCAGAACATCGTTCTGCCTTAGGCTATGGATCGCACAAAGGAACGTCTAAGACCCTTAGAGGCAACATCGTGATAGTGTAGGATGGGCGATCACAACAGGGCATCTCGTAGTCTTTATCAAGAGAGATTTTGGGCCGTGAAGGGTCAAAAATCGGACCAGAATTGAGAGCGGAATGATTGCCAATGCCCTTAAGTGCTGAAGAACATAAGAGACGCCAGTGTTGGATCAGGCCAAAGGCCCATCCAGTCCAACACTCTGTGCAGGGGTCATTTCGTAGAAAAAGAGCTAGGGGAACTCATTAGCATAACTCATTAGCATATGCCACACCCCCTGACATCACCGGAAGTGTGTCATAAGGCCACACCCCCTGACGTCACCGAAAATGTGTCATAAGGCCACACACCCCACCCCCAACAGTCCCGGCCGCCACCGCCGGCCTTGCAGCTCCACTGCCGAGCCCTATGAGGGGCCCAGCGGTGGACCTGCAAGGCTGGCGGGAGTGCAAGGAAGCCCCGCGAAGGCCCTCCCTGGCCCCAGGCAGGCAGGGGTGGGGAGAGGCAGGGAGGAAGCAACTTACCCTCCCTCTTCTCCTGCCTCCTCCTGGCTGAATGAGGGCCGGAAGCGGGGCAGTCGGAAGCAGGGGGCGGGGCTTCGTCATTTGCCCCGCCCCCCCGTACCTCACCCGTGGGAACTTTGTTCCCCCGCGATCCCCCCCCCCCG